CAAGCTAAAAAATGGATTGATCAAGGTTATCAAACATTGGATGATTTACGAGCAAAAGCTCATTTGACACATAATCAACAAGTAGGACTTAAATATTATGATGAATTTTTACAACGGATACCACGAGTAGAAATACAAGAAATTGAAAATGTGGTTAAAGAAACAGCTGAATTATTACGACCCGGTATTATTTTGACAACTGGTGGTTCATATCGACGTGGTCAACAAACATGTGGTGATTGTGATATGATTATTACACATCCCGATAGAAAATCTCATGAAAATTTATTGATACCATTAGTCGAAAGTTTAAAAAAGAAAGGTAAACGAACAAGTGATCAGGATAAAATGTTTAATATAAATATGTATATATGAGTGAATTGCAAGTTTATTGTACAATTCGTAAAAACAAACGAAAGTGAGCTTAGAAAAAATGTAAGTGATGCATCTTGTTCCTTATTATTTACTGAACGTGTGGTGAAAATTTCCCAACTACCGAAAGAGGCAAAAGATACAGCAAAAAGCCTCATAGAAAAATTTGATGAAAAAATGTCCGTCTACATTTTTTCGTAAAACTTGAAATTAGTACACAAAATTCAAACGCAGAAAGCTAAAATTTTTCACTCTTGTACAACTTTTTATGCTCTATCTCATGTGAAAGTTTTATCAAGAACGGATGCATTGTTCGCGAGTTAGAAGCAGAACAAATTGCAAATTGTCCGTCTACAAGGTGTACGAAAACGGTATTTTTTGGAAAAAAGATCCGTTTTTGACCTAAAGAAAAAATCAAAACCTAAATTTTTTTTCAGAAATTGTAGAGCAACATCAAATCTTTCTTGGAGTCACTTTTTAGCATTAGTTGTTACAGTAAATAGTCTTAGAAAAAAGGATGACAATGTCTGTCTACAGAAAATAAGAAAAGTGTGCGTAAAATTATTTTCATATGTGACTAGAAAAAAGTAAGTAAAAACAAAAGTGAATCATATGATTCGATAGAAAATTGAACGCCCTACAAAACGTGCTATTTTGTTTTCATTTTTCGTTCTTTCTTTCCTGAGAAAAATCCGTTTTGCTAAGTTAATAAGTGGTTGCTTTAATAGAGCGTTAAACACACGTTCACGGTACATTAATTTAATTTAATTGCTTGAAAGAAGAAACAAGTTTGTTTTACTGATGAATGATCATGATCAAATCCTACTTATTAAATCAATGTTTGTTTTTGCATGTCTAAGCGAAGCTCCTACGATTTGTTTCTAGTTATTTTAAACATAAAATGCAGCTGACGATAAGTAAAATATTAAACCTGGTACAATGCATGTCTCTAAAAGGATGGTAGTAAAACTAAAACAGAAAGTGAAAAATTTGAATTTGTTCGAAGAACCATTGAAAAATGATGAAGAACGTATTGTTTCTGAAGGTAAAACATCGACCCGTGTCTTCGTCGTACTTCTTTCTCTTAGCGTATTCGTTTTAATTCTCTATTATTCCATTGCTCAAATAACCATATTAGACACAAAAGAATTGCCAAGCCTAGCCGAGTTTGAAATGTTGCAACTTCAGTTTCAAAACACATTAAATTGTCCGTGCTCACAGATTTCTATTTTGTATCGCTCCTTTATCAGCATGAATCCTCGATTACATCAAGTATGCTCGAGTTCATTTGTATCCAACGAATATATCAAATATTTAGTTGATATCTATTATACTGAAGCGAATCCAACTACGGCAGCAACTCGATTCCAAATGTTAGCTGATATGTGTCAGTTAGCTAATGACACGATTACCGACAGTCTTAATCTCTTTTATTCATCTGCTTTCATCAGTGGTTCTGCTATTAGACGAGACCTGTTTGAGTCCCAAGTAGACGCATTCATCAACGTTTTTGGTAATACTACAACAAACTCGTTCGCTCGAACATTATCAACAACACGTAGTCTACTTAGAGGAAATCAACTTGTTACTGGCACGTCATCATCATTTGATATCTCGCCGGGTAACACGAGTCTGTACCAGGAACTATCGGGAGAGCCAGTGGGTTTTATTTCAACTGACTACGATAACTGTACTTGTGTCACAGATCCAAGATGCGCTACGGATCTCTATCTGCCTGTGTTTAATGGTGGTAATGTATCAGTGGGTCATGCGATCGTACCCGGTTTCTTTCATGGTTGCTACGAAGTTGAAGCGTTACTCATGTCTGATTTGAGATGTTTTTATAATTACACTTGCCTATCGCCCTTTTTTGAAGTCGGCGTTCACGTTACTGTTCTCGATTCTTCCATTCCAACTATTTATCAACAGGATGCAAACACTGAAACTTTATTAGATAATCTCTTCTTAGAAACGTGGAATTCATCTTCATCATATTCGTCCTACTATAATGCTTGTGCACCGTTGTCATGCACTTACACCGCTTCGCTTCATCGTCCTGGTATTGATATTCTACAAGCAGTTATTGGTTTATATGGTGGCTTATCAACAGGTTTAATGTTTCTTGTACCGGTTATGCTGGATATTTTGAGATCTCTCAAAAAAAAATATTACGTTCCTAAAAAGAAAACTCAAGAAAAACATGACGTGAAGGGTAAGCAGATTGATAACCGAGAAGATAAAACTGTTTTGTAAAATTTCATACTTGCCTTCAAATGGACACCGCCACTCTATAATCCGTAATCATTGCCAAACTTTATATCAGACTCCATTGCTGTTGAAACTACAGCATTAATGTTATTGAATATATATTATATATTTTTTTTATTTCTGAGTGTACTACAATGGGTTATCCCGCTTGTACTCTTTCATTAAATAAAAGTTTAAACCAATGTTACTGAAAAACTGTAGAAATCCGATAGACTCAATAAATAAACAAAGATTTTCGCATACTGAGAAACTACTAGTAGTTGGTAGAAAGGAGGAAAAAACGAGAAAAACTCAGTGACTATTCGTCAGGGGCAGACATTCAGATTTTCAAATATTCACGAAGCTATGCTAAATAATACACAAACAAGCATTGTGGAAGACACACAGTGGGCAATTTTCGATAGGCACGTGGACATCAGGATTTAGAAGGTCCATCGAACTCAAAACACACTGAGTATAGATTATTTTGTGTCCCCTTTGCAATGGAAAACTTTTCAGAACTCAAAAGTTCCTGAAACCCGGTTTTCCAGAGATTCTTTGGGTTTTGAAAGCTTAATTAAACAGAAAACTTCGTACTTTTACATGAAAATGTTTTTTTATAGGTTTTCAAACATGCTGGGTTTGAATCCAGCGATAAGAAACTTTCTGAAGCTTTGCAAAACTTTTCTGGGAAACCAGGTCTACATAAAACCTTTTTTATGAAAAAACTGAGAAAGTGGCCCTAGAGGTAATTCCTCTAAAAATCAAGTCGTTGATCTTTATCGCTAAAAAGAAGATAACTTTTGAAGTAGTGAATAGTAGATATCGTCTTCAATGAGCCTCTTAAACAAAGCCTCATCCTCATCGAGACAAGTCAAAACCGCCTTATCTTCCTTCCTTTTTCGTTTTGACCACGCGTGGTCCACGACGTAGTTAATCACGGGATCGC